AGGCGATTCGCTCGGCAAATCCATCTTTTGCTAAAAATGAAGTTTAGTATAGGGTTGTAACAAATGAAAGCGATCAAAACTGATTCAAGAAAAATTTGGAAAGCCAGTTCGCAAGTGTGACACATGGCAAGCACACAATGGTTCGGTAAGCCAAAATAGACGAATCATCAAGTTTGTAGAGGACGAATAAAACGATACTGATTCTACGATTTGATGGAGCAAAAAAATGATAAAAAAGGAAAACTCCGTGGGAAACGTGGCCTTCAAAAGATCTATGTTCAATTTTTAGACCGAATATCTTAGCAGCAAAAGCACTTGTTGAATTGTAGGTATTTAAAAGGTTCGACTTTTTCATATGATATAGATAAACATCGGTGTTGAAATTTTGCCTGCGTTTGAGAAGTTCCCAGAAAAGGACGCCTGTCGAACACCAGTAGACACACAACATTCGATTCTTTCCGTAGATGTTCCGGTTTGGCACCATTTTTCCTACTTGCCCTTTCTTCAACCACTGCCGTTGTAACACTCGACCATCGTAGAAAATCCACGTTTGATCATGAGTTATGGTGTTTGAAAGAGAAAGCCGACCATGCCGTTATTCGCTCCACAAGTGGTGGCATATCCGCTTGCTTTTGGCTTCGATTGTTTCCGACATTTCGTATGGGATTTGGTGTTGTTTTCTCCAATTTCTCCCACTTTTTGCAGCTATCGCCACACAGTCAATCGTCCACAGTAACGTCCAGCCAATTTTCGGGTTGATCCATCGGGAATTTGAAGGAATCGGCACCTCAGAATCGATCGATCCACTTTCCGGGGTCGGCCGCTTCCCCTCTTCCGTTTGATCTTCGTGTTGCCCGTCTTGAATTTGTGAAACCATTCCTGTGCAGTACTCGTTTCAACGAGTTTGTTGCCATAAACTTGATTGATTTCTCGTGCTGCTTTGGCCGCGGAAATCCCTCTTGAAGATCGTTGGAGCAGTTGGTCGTGGATTTCTTCTCGAGTTGGCTTCATTCGATCGACTACAACTCTCTTTTCGTGTCGATCCCTAAAAAATGAATGTTAATTGAAGAAAAAAGAAAGTTTTAGCATGAAAAAGAAAAAAAGAAAAATACAAAACGTTGTGTTGTGAGCGAGTAGTGATGAAAACAAAAAATCTCTGGGTTTTTATGGGACAACCCAAAAGCTTACACTAGTAATTATTGGCTTAATCTATTCTAAAAAAAATTTACATGGATAAGGGCTTGGATTAGTGGAAAAGCTGAGGAAGAGAAATGTTATGGTTGTATGAGTTAGAACTTACTAAAACAGAATATCCTGGAAAAGCTGATAATGAAATACCAGCTAGTGTAAGGTAATACCTCTTGATAAAAGGTGGGCACGCCGAATAAAACACTCAGAAATCCATGCGTGGACCCCAAGTATTGCGAGATGCAGATTCGCGGGCAACACAGAACACAAACGTAGAACTCATAAATTGTTCCGACGATCCGAAACTGTGCTATCAGCTAGATTTATTTTGGGTCGGTTTCAGAGAAAATGGAGTGTTTTCATTCGGAACTCCAGACGCCACATGTGCCGGTATGTTACGCTTTTGAGGAAAAGAAGTTTCCACAGCGTGTCCCAGACGGTCAGCGATTACGCGTGCGGACAGAGAAAGGGTAGCTCCTGGATCTAATCCGATTTTTCATTGAAGGAGAAGTAATGTCATTTTGCTTCACAAACCGGTAATATTGATATTTTTGGAGCTAGGAACATTGTGCTTGTCTCGTTGACGCTTTAATGGATTGGTTGTGCACAGAGTACGATATTGATTGACGATTCATGATATCTATTCACGATGTGGTTTGTTTTACAACCAAAATTTCGAAATCAAAATCTCATTGAAATCGAAATTTCTAAAGAAACGGGTCTAAAATCAGACAATTAAATTATTTCCTTAGCATCAGCATTAGTCAATCTTTAGCAACTAAATGTCAAACCAATACAGGGTGCGGCAAAAGTTCTGACACTTTTTCTGTAAGCAGTAATTTTTTTGGCTTCAAAAACCCGTGAATTTCAAAAAACTAACCCCGGATTCTAAAAATTTAGGTAGTTTCACCCCAATATAGCCATTTTCATAAAAAGATTTCAACTCTCAATAACTTTTTGACGAGAATTTTTTATATCCCGATCTGGTCGCTGAAGATTTTTGCGAAAGTTGACTTAAACTTTGCAGAATAAAATTTTTTCCAAAAACTGCTGTTACGTTGATAGAACTGAGTTTTTTCTTGAAAAGAAGCCACAAAAAAACTTTATATCTCAAAAACGAAAGATTTTCAAGCGATTCTACGAAGAGCACCCAAATCTCAACAACAAAAAAAAACTGCTGTAACGACCTTTAAACATCCCCATCAAAAGGTTGTTTAGATGGCAATTTTTGTGTAAAAAAGTATATTAGGGGGTAAAAATATCTGAATTTTTATAATCCAGTGTCAGTTTTTCAAAAATCGCGTTTTTTCCAAGTCAAACTGCCCGTTTACAAAAAGTGTCAGAACTTTTGCCGCACCCTGTATATCATAAAAAGGAATCTTTTTCAATTTGGCTATAGTGCATCGTGGATTGAGTTGAGATCGCTCTTCTCGTATCTTTCCTTCAGTTCACCACAGATTTTCTTCCAATCCTAAAATTAAAGTTAAAGAAACATTGTAAAGTCTTAGCTTCACTAGAGTACTTTACATTTTTAAGTGAAAGTATCAAAAATCAAAGAAATCTCACTCACCGTGTCCGGTGAAAGCGGCAACGCGAAAGGAGAGCGCCTAGGCGTGTAATGAAGTCGATCACTGAAAACACCGGGACGTTTTCTGAATTGAAACATTAAAAACACAAAGAGGTCTCTAATTTGCAAATAAGCAAAGTAATTATTGATTACTCAATCAGTATCAATTTATTGACCCACTCACCTGGCGAATTTGTTTATCACATCGCCCACATCAAATTCATCTTTTTGCTCGGCATGTCGCATAATTGCCGGAGCCACCCCGACAACGCTTCTTCTAAAACAAGCCCAGTCAAATCTGTGAATAAAACAAACCGTCCAATTGCTTCATATCATTGCAGCAAAACTGGTGGTATGTAGACATTTTGAGCATCTGGAGCTTCACTTCAAAGGGGAGAAATTTCATCCAACATTAGCACATTACCTCTTTTTCTTTCTTGCTGACATCGATGAATGATATCGTCTTTGTCAGGCCATTTATCCGGACTCCAATTCTCATAGTGCAACAATGACACCTAAAATTAAAAAAGTTTGCCATATCCATTCGAAATGTTCACCTCTTTGGTCACAGTCTTCGTCTCTTCGCCCTCTTTCTAAAGTATATTGTCAATTCACGAATAGTTTCCCTGAATCTCAACCTTGTTGTCTTCATCTTTGATAAATTTGTGATAAGGTGCTTTGCAGGTTTAACTCGTAGATCACATGGTCTCTTTTTTGAGCTTCTTGCTTTGACGGATCGAGTCCCTCGATAAATCGCTTCGTGTATTTGATCACATAACGGCCATTCTAAAAGAAAAGGTTACTCTAACTTTCAAAGCTTCATTAATTGAATAAATGTCACCAGCGACAAGTGTGAGTGTTTCTCCTTCTTTTTTTGGCCAATAAGGATAACAGCCTGTGGTTGGCTCTCTCGCGAAATCACTCTTTTGGGAAAAGAAGCAATCATGCAAGTCTCGTCTTGAAAGAAGCAAGATTATTGAAAATCATTCGGATTTTCCTGGAGAAACCTGCCAAACGGCTCTCCGCAAATCGATGGCTGCTTGTTCGGTTTTGGGAGCCTAAATCAAGTATAGTGGAAAAATTATTTACCCACCTGATACAAAATGTAATCGCGATGGTCGTAGCACCTGTAGGAGCCCGGCAAAAACGGATGGCCGTCCGGTTTTTACGGCTCAACCTAAAAACAACCCAGTACCCATTGAGACACCTATTCATCAAAAGTACCAAATTTTTACCTTCAGAAGCTTCTTCTCTCCAACCATCAATTGAAGACGCGATTGATTGTAGATCGAGGCGAGATTTTGCCAATTCGGTTGATACTCCTTACCTCCAGTCATTTTTTTAACAACCTCTATTACAATCAAAAATTTCTCAACAAACTTCATCGGCATCTGTTTTCTTTTTTGGGCTCAATTGATCGTTGACAAATCTGGCAAAATCTTTCGGATGTTCGGGTGAGGAAACCTAAAAGAATTTTTAATCAGAAGACCAAGATTTTCCTCATAATACTTCTCCTCGACTTGACCGATTCCTTGGCTAGCATTATGCCTCTAAAATTCGAAAGTTTAACACAAACGTTTAAAAGTTCTTCGTTTAAAAGTAAAAAAAGTTTCACTCACCAGAAAATGATCCGTTCAATCGAAGAGAATATCAAAAATGAATAAGACACCGACCAATGGATCCTTTCCTCTGACTGTTCAATGTTACTATCGTGTGTTGTATTCTAATTTAGGTTCGATACTTGTGCAAAGACGAATATGTTGGCCGATGTGCGCTGGCATTAATGTGAGGTAATGCTTACGTGAGAGCCACGATTTCACAGGCGATCGGAATACAACAATTACCTATGGTAAAATCCACTTGGATTTTTTTCTATTTTGATTCAGAGATAAAATTAACTTTCTTCCAGAACATTGCCTTTTTCTAGGAAGTGGACGTGGATTCTGTATTGCGCAAAATTGTGAAAGCTCCTTGCAAGAATCCCAACGGAACCCTCCCTAAACCAGGTGTCTTCTGTTGAAAAAACTTTGTTTTTAGATGAATAATGGAATATGGAAATGGTGTTGGATAAGACGTATGGGAAACTTCGAAAGGGAACGATTTAATAACAATAACAACAGAAATAAATAAATAAGTCAACAATTTTGTGTCACAATAAAAACAAAAATAGAATGAAATCAGTTGTGGTATTATACTAGCTGGGGGGCAATATTTTGCGAAAAAATAGTGCCTCCAACTAGTATCATACGTACATTATTGTCGAAGCACCATCTGTATCCAATATTATAATTTTTCCAAACAACCATCGCATCATTGACAGTTTCAGGATTCCTGGTCCGTAATACCTAAACGCCTTCATTCTAATTTTGAAAAATAAAACTAAAAATACCTTTTTTGGACAAAAGTATCATAGAATGCAGTAAATACTGCGATGCTCAAGATTCTCGCGTATTTCTGTTCCACAGGAGAATCCAGACATTCTTGAATGGTTGTATTGACCTCTAATCCGTTTGTTCCACCCAGCAATAGTCCTGCCAAACGTGCAGAATCATCAAAGACCGGAGCACCCGAGTATCCTCGCTTCGAACCAGGTGTTCCGACTAAATAAAAATTTTGTTTATGACGATCAACTCATTGGTTAAAGTCATGATAATAAATAAATTATAATTATTCTTACCTAGATAACTGCCATTCAACCACGTCCCTTTGATGATTCCTTGTGTGATCGTCGGCCTAGAAGCTTCAAGACCGACCGGATAGCCCTAAAATTAAACTGTTTAACATATGAAATCAATCGGCATTTTGTAAAACGCTCCGTCACCTACAATCAAACTAAAAAAAATGGCATACCATTATGAAATATCTAGAGCCGGGATTCAGTTCCTCTGTAGACAGTTGAAGGTCTTCAAGAGAATCCGAACTAAGTACGGCGAAATCGAAATGGTTACAAATCAAATCGCAGCGCACGCGCACATCCAAACTGCCCTTCAAACCGGGTCCTTTGATTGGGTACCATTCTCCAAGCTTGAAGGATAAGTGCGCAGCGGTCAAAATGCGCTTATTATTCAATAAGACGCATGATCCCACCCTACCACCACGGCCTCCAATGCAAAAAACACGATTTTCCCAATGGTTGAGAATTTTTGAAGTGCCTAAATGAAGATTTTTATTAAATATTTAAACACACATACTATTTGCTGCGCCCTCCGAAAGAGAATCGACAAAGAACTCCATAGTTGGCCAGCCTTTCGGAAGCAAAAACGACGAGCCAGTTGAATCCAAACTAAAACTAGAATAGGTTAAAGAAAATAAAATACACTCTAAACTAAATTTTAAAATCGAACTTACTCGCACCATTTCGCCCCTTCATTCTCACCATAACGCAACTTAACGATCGAAGTCGGCGTGAGGGAAAACAGATTTTTGACAGCCTCCTGTGTTATCACATTTCCCGACAAAGATACGTTGTGCTCCCACACCACGATTCCCTCGTGCATCAACTTGATTCGGATCACTAAATGATATTTAAATTCCTTTTTGTGCCTCCCTGCAAAAATTAACTTTGGAAAATTTTTTTTGCATTTTGGTTAGGTCTTGGTTTATTGGCTAGCACCAGAATACCAAGACACCAAAACTCACTTAAGTGACACACCGGCGATGACCGGATACACTTTACAGGGTGTCTCATAAAAAAAAACGTCTCTAAAAATCGAACTCCTTGACTAATGGACATTGATACAGATTCGACTTTGAAGAACTACAAAAAAGTTGTTCAAACATTAGTTTATCAGCCTCATATAAAAAAATTACCTCGTGGTTGTGGTTGTGGTGGTGGTGGTGGTGGTGGTAAACGAGACTCGACAAAGAACTCCATAGTTGGCCAGCCTTCAGGCAGCAAAAACGAGCCAGTTGAATCCAAACTAAAACTAGAATAGGTTAAAGAAGATAAAATACCCTCAGACTAAATTTTAAAATCGAACTTACTTGCACCATTTTGCCTCTTCATTATCACCATAACGCAACTTAACGATCGAAGTCGGAGGGAGGGAAAACAGATTTTTGACAGCCTCCTGGGTTATCACATTTCCAGACAAAGATACTTTGTGCTCCCACACCACGATTCCCTCGTGCATCAACTTGATTCGGATCACTAAATGATATTAAAATTCCTTTTTGTGCCTCCTTGCAAAAACTAACTTTGGTAAAATTTTCTTGTCTACAAAAAAATATTTTGTGCATTTTGGTTAGGTCTTGTTTATTGGCCAGCACCAGAATACCAAGACACCAAAACTCACTTAAACGAACACCGGCGATGACCGGGTACACTTTACATGGTGTCTATTTTATTTTAGAAAAGTCCTTGACTAACAGACAATGATACAGATTTGACTTTGAAGAAATACAAAAAAGTTGTTCAAACATTAGTTTATCAACCTCCTATAAAACAAAGCACCTGGTTGTGGTGGTGGTGGTGGTAAACGAGAGTCGACAAAGAACTCCATAGTTGGCCAGCCTTCAGGCAGCAAAAACGAGCCAGTTGAATCCAAACTAAAACTAGAATAGGTTAAAGAAGATAACATACACTCAGACTAAATTTTAAAATCGAACTTACTTGCACCATTTTGCCTCTTCATTATCACCATAACGCAACTTAACGATCGAAGTCGGAGGGAGGGAAAACAGATTTTTGACAGCCTCCTGGGTTATCACATTTCCAGACAAAGATACTTTGTGCTCCCACACCACGATTCCCTCGTGCATCAACTTGATTCGGATCACTAAATGATATTAAAATTCCTTTTTGTGCCTCCTTGCAAAAACTAACTTTGGTAAAATTTTCTTGTCTACAAAAAAATATTTTGTGCATTTTGGTTAGGTCTTGTTTATTGGCCAGCACCAGAATACCAAGACACCAAAACTCACTTAAACGAATACCGGCGATGACCGGGTACACTTTACATGGTGTCTATTTTATTTTAGAAAAGTCCTTGACTAACAGACAATGATACAGATTTGACTTTGAAGAAATACAAAAAAGTTGTTCAAACATTAGTTTATCAACCTCCTATAAAACAAAGCACCTGGTTGTGGTGGTGGTGGTGGTAAACGAGAGTCGACAAAGAACTCCATAGTTGGCCAGCCTTCAGGCAGCAAAAACGAGCCAGTTGAATCCAAACTAAAACTAGAATAGGTTAAAGAAGATAACATACACTCAAGACTAAATTTTAAAATCGAACTTACTTGCACCATTTTGCCTCTTCATTATCACCATAACGCAACTTAACGATCGAAGTCGGAGGGAGGGAAAACAGATTTTTGACAGCCTCCTGGGTTATCACATTTCCAGACAAAGATACTTTGTGCTCCCACACCACGATTCCCTCGTGCATCAACTTGATTCGGATCACTAAATGATATTAAAATTCCTTTTTGTGCCTCCTTGCAAAAACTAACTTTGGTAAAATTTTCTTGTCTACAAAAAAATATTTTGTGCATTTTGGTTAGGTCTTGTTTATTGGCCAGCACCAGAATACCAAGACACCAAAACTCACTTAAATGACACACCGGCGATGACCTGATACACTTTACAGGGTGTCTATTTTATTTTAGAAAAGTCCTTGACTAACAGACAATGATACAGATTTGACTTTGAAGAACTACAAAAAAGTTGTTCAAACATTAGTTTATCAGCCTCATATAAAAAAACTAACCTCGTGGTTGTGGTGGTGGTGGTGGTAAACGAGACTCGACAAAGAACTCCATAGTTGACCAGCCTTCAGGAAGCAAAAACGAGCCAGTTGAATCCAAACTAAAACTAGAATAGGTTAAAGAAGATAAAATACACTCAAAAATAAATTTTAAAATCGAACTTACTCGCACCATTTCGCCCCTTCATTCTCACCATAACGCAACTTAAGGATCGAAGTCGGAGGGAGGGAAAACAGATTTTTGACAGCCTCCTGTGTTATCACATTTTCTGACAAAGATATGTTGCTCTCCTTCACCACGATTCCCTCGGGCATCAACGTGATTCGGATCACTAAACGATATTTAAATTCATTTTTTTAACACCCTAAAAAATTTTAACTTTGGTAAACTTTTCTTGTCCACAAAAAAATATTTTGTGCATTTTGGTTAGGTCTTGGTTTATTGGCTAGCACCAAAACTCACTTAAATGAACACCGGCGATGACCGGGTACACTTTACAGGGTGTCTCATAAAAAACGTTTTCAAATCGAACTCCTTGACTAATGGACATTGATACAAATTTGACTTTGAAGAACTACAAAAAAGTTGTTCAAACATTAAAACTACCAACCTCAGATAAAACAAAACTAACCTCCTGGTTGTGGTGGTGGTGGTCGTGGATAAATTGCTGTAAATATTTGATTTTTCCATCCGTCTGCAGGGCACATAAACAATGAGCGAGCTGAATCAAACCTAAAACTAGAATAGATTAAAAAAGATGATTTTATCCTTACATAACAACCCGACTCGCTTCCGCCTTCGGATCTTTGAACTCCAACCCAGTGGCCCCAGGAAACGTATGCGATAGAGTTGCCAACGAGAGATTTCTGTAAATAAAAGTTGTGATCAATATTGACAAAAATTGAAAAAAAAATTCACAAAGACACTAACCTGTCAGAGTTGCAGGGCAATCCGCGTGGTTTTCCATCTTCCCTATCTTTCACGACCACGTAGCTCGGCTCTTTTGGACTAACGTCTTCTCCTCCATAGTCTTTGAGGCCGAACTCATTGCCAGCTTTCACGTCATCCGAGTCAGGCGATTCGTTCGGTAAATCAATCTCTGGCTAAAAATGAAGTTTAGCATAGGGTTGAAATAAATGAAAGCTATCAAAATCGAGTTAAGAAAAATTTGGAAAGCCAGTTCGCAAGTGCGACATATCAAAACAGTGCGCTCAAAAAAAAGCAAGCACAAAAATAGATTAGACAATGAATCAGTCCATGAAATTTTAGGGTAACATTGCCCATTTAGGTGGGTAAGTCGTTAAGTAGATAAAAGAGATATTTTTATCAAATTGTCGATAAAGTTAATTGAAATTATCTAAAATTGACAGGATTCTTCAATGTTGGAAAACTATTTACTATGTGATCAATAGATGGGAGTACACGGGACAACAATCGACGCTACTGTGTCTCATTCGTGGCAATAAAGAGATTAAACAACCGCTGCCGACTCGCTGGGGGAGATAATGCAAATGACAGAATCTGTAGTCTTATTGTTTGTGAAACTTCAATTAAATAAATGAATATCTTTAAAAATAAATAGATACACTTTAACACAGATTGCTTTATAGAAACACAAGTGGTTTTTTCATAGCATTTGTTCTATAAGCTTGTTTTTAACGAATATAAAACTAGGGAGGGAGGAGCTACTATTATGGTAGGTTAGATAGAGAAAGGAATAACGGGCTTAAACCTAATCAATTTAGTTGCGCTCCGATTTTTTCGTAAAGTACATTCCACTCCTTCGATAAAACACAAGAAAAAATCTGAAACTCACTGGCTCTTTTGGTCTAACGTCTTCTCCTCTGTAGTCTTTGGGGTCGAACTCATTGGCAGTTTTCACGTCATCCGAGTAAGGCGATTCGCTCGGCAAATCCATCTTTTGCTAAAAATGAAGTTTAGTATAGGGTTGTAACAAATGAAAGCGATCAAAACTGATTCAAGAAAAATTTGGAAAGCCAGTTCGCAAGTGTGACACATGGCAAGCACACAATGGTTCGGTAAGCCAAAAGAGACGAATAATCAAGTTTGTAGAGGACGAATAAAACGATACTGATTCTACGATTTGATGGAGCAAAAAGGAAATGATAAAAAAAGAAAACTCTGTGGGAAACATGGCCTTCAAAAGATCTATGTTCAATTTTTAGACCGAATATCTTAGCAGCAAAAGCAATTGTCGAATTGTGGGTATTTAAAAGGTTCCATCTTCAAGCAAAAGTCTCATTTGGGGCAAAAACTGAAAACAAAATGTTTCAAAAGAGTAATTCCTAGCATCTCGCTTGGGCTCCAAAAATGTTTCCACTTTTCTGTTAACCTCGCTGACATGTCATGACGTGTTAGCGAGGTCTGATTTGTCAAAATTCAAAATCTACGCACACGATGCCCTGATATGGAAACACTTTTGCTGCTCTACGGGCCCTTCTAAGGCCTTTTCCAACAAAAAAGGTGCGCCTTTTACTTGGTGCGCAAAAAAGGCAGCATTTATTTCATCCCCTCCTTACCGAGAAGAAAAAAAGCTGAAAAAAGAAAAAAATCTTAGCATATTAGCAGCAAAAGCAAAAGCAATTCCCGAATTGTTGGCTGTAGTTCGTTCTCTTGGACCTCTGCCATTTTACCTCCCTAGTTTTCCCCTAGAAAAATCAGACCTCGCTAACACGTCATGACATGTCAGCGAGGTTAACAGAAAAGTGGAAACATTTTTGGAGCCCAAGCGAGATGCTAGGAATTACTCTTTTGAAACATTTTGTTTTCAGTTTTTGGCCCAAATGAGACTTTTGCTTGAAGATGGAACCTTTTAAATACCCACAATTCGACAATTGCTTTTGCTGCTAAGATATTCGGTCTAAAAATTGAACATAGATCTTTTGAAGGCCATGTTTCCCACAGAGTTTTCTTTTTTTATCATTTCCTTTTTGCTCCATCAAATCGTAGAATCAGTATCGTTTTATTCGTCCTCTACAAACTTGATTATTCGTCTCTTTTGGCTTACCGAACCATTGCGTGCTTGTCATGTTCTGATTCTTGTCATTTGTCACACTTGCGAACTGGCTTTCCAAATTTTTCTTGAATCAATTTTGATCACTTTCATTTGTTTCAACCCTATACTAAACTTCATTTTTAGCAAAAGATGGATTTGCCGAGTTCGAATGACGTGAAACCACCACCACCACAACCACAAAGTTAGTTTTATTTTAGGTTGATAAACTAATGTTTGAACAACTGTTTTCTAGTTCTTCAAAGTCAAATCTGTATCAATGTCTGTTAGTCAAGGACTTTTCTAATATAAAAGTTCTATCTTTAAAGTCAATGATTAAATTAAGGAGTGTACGGGGTGCCTCATAAAAAAAAGGTTTTCAAATCGAATTTCCTAGAAAGTTCTAATGGCTGCAGGTGGCCGCGTTGGTGTCAAAAGCGTTTATTTGTGCTCAGGATTTTTTCACGTTTTTTATCTTTTTCTCGAGATCTTGAAACCCTGTACATCAGATTATGGGGATGAGAATTAACAGGTGAAATGTGTAACTAACTTCTGAGCATTTATACAGGGTGTCCCAAAAAAATCCACTTGAGGTCAAATTTTAAAAATTTTTCCGATGGCTCAAGGTAGTAGGTATGGTGCAAAAATGATTCTTTTGAGGTCGGGAAATTTTGGTACTTTTGATTTTCCCCATATCTCAATACAAGAAATTTCTGAACCACCATGGTCACCACCACGATGAGACTTTTGCCATAGAAGGAAAACTTTGTACTGGCATCGTAGTGCATGATAAACACTGTTAGGATGACTACAAATTTTAACCATACACCTTTTTGATAGGCGTTTTGTTGAAAAAACGAGACAGCTTTTTAAAAAAGGCGAGTTGAAAATCTCGTATGTACGACAATTTATTATATAATGTAGATCACTAAAGTGTTTGGCCAAAAATCTTAGTTTATATATTAACTCCAATATGACACCAAGATGCCAGTTCAAAGTCTTAATTTTATGGCATGATGGTGGTGCTGGTGGCACCCATAATCTCATGTACAGGGTATCAAGATATGGTGAAAAATTCCTTAGCACAAATAAACGCTTTTGACACCAAAGCGGCCACCTGCAGCCAGTAGAACTTTTTAGGAAATTCGATTTGAAAACGTTTTTTTATGAGGTAAAGTGTATCAGGTCATCGCCGGTGTGTCATTTAAGTGAGTTTTGGTGTCTTGGTATTCTGGTGCTGGCCAATAAACAAGACCTAACCAAAATGCACAAAATGTTTTTTTTGTAGACAAGCAAGAAAAATTTACTAAAGTTAAAATTTTTGCAAGGAGGCGCAAAGATGAATTTGAATATCGTTTAGCGATCCGAATCAAGTTGATGGAGGACGAACTCGTGGCGGTGGAGCACAAAGTATCTTTGTCGGGAAATGTGATACCACAGAAGGCTGTCAAAAATATGTTTTCCCTCCCTCCGACTTCGATCGTTAGGTTGCGTTATGGTGATAATGAAGAGGCAAACTGGTGCAAGTAAGTTCGATTTTAAAATTTAGTTTTGAGTGTATTTTATCTTCTTTAACCTATTCTAGTTTTAGTTTTGATTCAACTGGCTCGTTTTTGCTTCCTGATGGCTGGCCAACTATGGAGTTCTTTGTCGATTCTCGTTTGCCACCACCAGCAAATAGTATGTTATGTTTAAATATTTATTAAGAATCTTTGTTTAGGGGCTTCAAAAATTCTCAAGGAATGGGAAAATCGTGTTTTTTGCATTGGAGGCCGTGGTGGTAGGGTGGGATCATGCGTCTTATTGGAAAAGAAGCACATTTTGACCGCTGCGCACTTATCCTTCAAGCTTGGAGAATGCTACCCAATCAAAGGACCCGGTTTGACGGGCAGTTTGGAGGTGCGCGTGCGCTGCGATTTCATTTCTCGGAGTCACGTTTTCGCCATACTTAGTTCGAATTCTCTTGAAGACCTCCCACTATCTACGGACTCACTGAATCGCGGCTCTAAATTTTTCATGATGGTATGCCATTTTTTAGAGTTTTTTTGTAGCTGACGGAGCGCTTTACAAAAAGCCCATTTATTTCATATGTTAAACAGTTTGATTTTAGGGCTATCCGACGGACGGCGGAGAGGCTTCTAGGCCGTCAATCACAAAAGGAATCATTGAAGGGTCGATGGTGGATAACATTCATCTAGGTAAGAATAATTATCATTTATTTATTATCATTATTTTAACCAATGAGTTAATCGTCATAAACAAAATTTTTATTTAGTCGGAACACCTGGTTCGAGGCTAGGATACTCGGGCGCTCCGGTCTTTGATGATTCTGGACGGTTGGCAGGACTATTGGTGGGGGGTCCAACGGCTCGATTAGATGTCAATGCAACGATTAAAGAATGTCTGGATTCGTCGGAGAAACAGAAATACGCGAAAATTTTAAACATCCAGGCAATCACTGGCCACTATGATTATTGTCGCCAAAATGGTATTTTTAATTTTATTTTTCAAAATTAGAATGAAGTCGTTTAGAACTTAAGGACCAGGAATCCTGAAACTGGCAATGATGCGATGCTTGGTTGGAGAAATATATTATTTTAAATACAAATGATGCTTCGACAACAACTTACGTACGATACGAGCTCGGGGCACTATTTTTTCGCGAAAAATTTTTGTGAGGTATTTTTTTGCGTAAATTACGCGTTTCGTAGTCAGAGCTTCAGGAAATGCGTTTTAGAGCGACTTTCGGGCACCGTATGCTTCACTACGGCGTCAAAAATAAAAATTTCGAAATTTTCATCGGGTGTTCCCCCATGGGTGAAAACTATGAAAAATTCGAACTCTTCTAGACACTCAATTAACCCAAAGAAAGTGTTTTTGCATGTTGAAAAAAATCCTCTGAGGCCTTAGATGAGCTCTCCTCAGCCCGCAGTGAAGCACACTGTACAGGCGGTGACTTCGGCTCCCCGAAAATCGGTCTAAAACGCATTTCCCCAAGTTCCCACTATGAAATTGGTAATCTAGGCAGAAAAACTCCCAGAAAAAGTGCTTTCGGAGAAAAAAATATTGCCCCCCAGCTAGTATAATACCACAACTGATTTCATTCTATTCTTGTTTTTATTGTGACACAAAATTGTTGACTTATTTATTTATTTCTGTTGTTATTGTTATTAAATCGTTCCCTTTCGAAGTTTCCCATACGTCTTATCCAACACCATTTCCATATTCCATTATTCATCTAAAAACAAAGTTTTTTCAACAGAAGACACCTGGTTTAGGGAGGGTTCCGTTGGGATTCTTGCAAGGAGCTTTCACAATTTTGCGCAATACAGAATCCACGTCCACTTCCTAGAAAAAGGCAATGTTCTGGAAGAAAGTTAATTTTATCTCTGAATCAAAATAGAAAAAAATCCAAGTGGATTTTACCATAGGTAATTGTTGTATTCCGATCGCCTGTGAAATCGTGGCTCTCACGTAAGCATTACCTCACATTAATGCCAGCGCACATCGGCCAACATATTCGTCTTTGCACAAGTATCGAACCTAAATTAGAATACAACACACGATAGTAACATTGAACAGTCAGAGGAAAGGATCCATTGGTCGGTGTCTTATTCATTTTTGATATTCTCTTCGATTGAACGGATCATTTTCTGGTGAGTGAAACTTTTTTTACTTTTAAACGAAGAACTTTTAAACGTTTGTGTTAAACTTTCGAATTTTAGAGGCATAATGCTAGCCAAGGAATCGGTCAAGTCGAGGAGAAGTATTATGAGGAAAATCTTGGTCTTCTGATTAAAAATTCTTTTAGGTTTCCTCACCCGAACATCCGAAAGATTTTGCCAGATTTGTCAACGATCAATTGAGCCCAAAAAAGAAAACAGATGCCGATGAAGTTTGTTGAGAAATTTTTGATTGTAATAGAGGTTGTTAAAAAAATGACTGGAGGTAAGGAGTATCAACCGAATTGGCAAAATCTCGCCTCGATCTACAATCAATCGCGTCTTCAATTGATGGTTGGAGAGAAGAAGCTTCTGAAGGTAAAAATTTGGTACTTTTGATGAATAGGTGTCTCAATGGGTACTGGGTTGTTTTTAGGTTGAGCCGTAAAAACCGGACGGCCATCCGTTTTTGCCGGGCTCCTACAGGTGCTACGACCATCGCGATTACATTTTGTATCAGGTGGGTAAATAATTTTTCCACTATACTTGATTTAGGCTCCCAAAACCGCACAAGCAGCCATCGATTTGCGGAGAGCCGTTTGGCAGGGTTGGGAATTCCAGGAATCTTTCAATAATCTTGCTCCTTTCAAGACGAGACTTACATGATTGATTCTTTTTCCCAAAAGAGTGATTACGCGAGAGAGCCAACCACAGGCTGTTATCCTTATTGGTCAAAAAAAGAAGGAGAAACACTCACACTTGTCGCTGGTGACATTTATTCAATTAATGAAGCTTTGAAAGTTAGAGTAACCTTTTCTTTTAGAATGGCCGTTATGTGATCAAATACACGAAGCGATTTATCGAGGGACTCGATCCGTCAAAGCAAGAAGCTCAAAAAAGAGACCATGTGATCTACGAGTTAAACCTGCAAAGCACCTTATCACAAATTTATCAAAGATGAAGACAACAAGGTTGAGATTCAGGGAAACTATTCGTGAATTGACAATATACTTTAGAAAGAGGGCGAAGAGACGAAGACTGTGACCAAAGAGGTGAACATTTCGAATGGATATGGCAAACTTTTTTAATTTTAGGTGTCATTGTTGCACTATGAGAATTGGAGTCCGGATAAATGGCCTGACAAAGACGATATCATTCATCGATGTCAGCAAGAAAGAAAAAGAGGTAATGTGCTAATGTTGGATGAAATTTCTCCCCTTTGAAGTGAAGCTCCAGGTGCTCAAAATGTCTACATACCACCAGTTTTGCTGCAATGATATGAAGCAATTGGACGGTTTGTTTTATTCACAGATTTGACTGGGCTTGTTTTAGAAGAAGCATTGTCGGGGTGGCTCCGGCAATTATGCGACATGCCGAGCAAAAAGATGAATCTGATGTGGGCGATATGATAAACAAATTCGCCAGGTGAGTGGGTCAATAAATTGATACTGATTGAGTAATCAATAATTACTTTGCTTATTTGCAAATTAGAGACCTCTTTGTGTTTTCAATGTTTCAATTTAGACAACGTCCCGGTGTTTTCAGTGATCGACTTCATTACACGCCTAGGCGCTCTTCTTTCGCGTTGCCGCTTTCAGCGGACACGGTGAGTGAGATTTCTTTGATTTTTGATACTTTCACTTAAAAATGTAAAGTACTCTAGTGAAGCTAAGACTTTACAATGTTTCTTGAACTTTAATTTTAGGATTGGAAGAAAATCTGTGGTGAACTGAAGGAAAGATACGAGAAGAGCGATCTCAACGCAATCCGCGATGCACTATAGCCAAATTGAAAAAGATTCCTTTTTATGATATATTGGTTTGACATTTAGTTGCTAAAGATTGACTAATGCTGATGCTAAGGAAATAATTTAATTGTCTGATTTTAGACCCGTTTCTTTAGAAATTTCGATTTCGATGATATTTTGATTTCGAAATTTTGGTTGTAAAACAAACCACATCGTGAATAGATAGCATGAATCGTCAATCAATATCGTACTCTGTGCACAACCAATCCATTAAAGCGTCAACGAGACAAGCCCAATGTTCCTAGCACCAAAAATATCAATATTACCGGTTTGTGAAGCAAAATGACATTACTTCTCCTTCAATGAAAAATCGGATTAGATTCAGGAGCAACTCTTTGTTTTGACTCGTCTTTGGATCTGAAACAGCTGGTGCGGCATTGGGAAACAACTATTTGGTCCTGGCCTGGCCCTGGCCTTGCTCGTAAAATGATTCGAAACAATCTGGTTAGGATTGACTTTTAGCCTGATCCTGGCCTGGCTCATAATCAGAGAAATGAGGGTAATGCAAAATTACTGCGTCTTATCTGGCTCTGGTCAGAAGTGTCAAAAGTACAAGGTACAGGATTAATGAAGAGCCGATTTCCCAGGCCAAGTCAAGTCAAGTTTAAGTCAAAGCATTGGTTTTTCGGTTGGCTTAACACAGTCGAATTTATCTATAGCAGAAATCTTCCATTATCAATTTGCTATACCAAAATTACCGTAACCTTGTCTCGTTTCTAGTCAAATCTAGCTATCTATATATCGATAAAAAATAGATAAGTTGGATAAAGCTAGAGGCTAGGTTACGGTAGTTCTTCGAAGATTTTCACGCTTTAGAAAAGGCAAGCTTTCTTATTTCTATCACAACTTGTCCCCAACAAATCCAGATTTTCAGTTCTAAACGATCTCTTGTGTTTTTTCATCGTTATCCAAAGTCCATTGAGTATTTCGGTTCTCTTTTTGATCAATATTTAATTTTGATCGCCAATATTTAAATGATTTATTGAGATTGAGAAACGCACAGAAATTCCGTATGCTTTTCCATTGTACTGTAGCTTTAGAAAACTGTAAATAGCAGTTCAGCGGGTAGAAAAGAAAAGTGTTCAGTGTTTAGTGCTAAAATTAAAGTTGTGACTCTAGATATCATACGAAATAAGCCGAAAGGTTTATTTGAAATATCTCTGAGCTCATTTCTCTTTTAGTGAGTGGCCCAGTCTCGACGAGTCTTGTGAGAGTCGTCGCATCCAATTCTTGAGTTTCTCTCGAAGTTTAGTTCATAAATGGCTATAAGATTTGCCTTTTCTATCAGATTGATTGAAAAGATCAAGGCTTTCACTAAAAATCAACGTAAAATTACAAGATAAACTTTTAGCCTATAAATTGTTCCAGTATAAATGCTTTTCAATATATTTTTATGTCTAAAATACAAAAGAAAGAAGACATTAAGGGCTATCTTTTGATATATTAAACAACAAAATATCTCAAAATAGGGCTGAGAACGAAGCTTCCAAAGTTGATCGAGGGACGGGCGTTCATTAGAGGGAATAGGGTAATTGTATGTTCAGGTTTCCTTATTTCTGTCTACAAGTGGCTCTTGTTGAGATAAATTGTATTTCTAAAATAGGTTTTCTTGAGATAATTGGTTTAATGGTTGAAAAAAATACAAAAATACCAGGTACAATAAGTGATTTTGGGGTGCTGAACGATGTGGAATGGATAATTTTTAATAACCCAGCTGCATGTAACTTTTTGAAATTTGAGAATCAAAATTGCGCATCACACATCGAATGCATTAGATAATTTATTATAGATATCGTTGGGTTGCAGTCTTTTGGAGTATGAACATCCTTGCCACCTTTGAACAGTTTGTTTTTTACAATAGGAAACTTTATTACTTCGCTAAGAAAGATGACTATGATTTGTGAGGTAGATCTTTTGTGTACTCGTCGGATTTGTGAAACTTGTTTACATGTTTCTTGCCAATTCCTTCGCTTCTTTATTACTTTATTACTTCTTTCTTCTTTATTGCTTATTACTAATACTGATTTTTGTGGTTCTGATCTACAAGTAGGGCGGGTTCTAAAGATCCGGGTATTCCCTTCCTTCTCTCTTCTATTTCCCTCTATTTCCCTTCCTTCTCTTTTCTTTCCCCCTCGTGTTTCCTTTTTTCTCTTACTAAGTCAAGGTACCGGATAGCTCAGTGGTTAGAACAATTGCTCGGAAAGGCAAAGATCGACGGTTCAATCGCTTCTCGGGAAACCTACTTTTTTAACACATAACATTGAACATAAATTATCTCTTGCATAGAAAACTTTATTACTTCATCAAATTTTTAGTGGCTTTGGCGAGAGTCTTGATCAGGAGATTTTCGTTGCTACTTGTTTGATCCTTGTTATTGCAAAGATTGCCAGAGCAGCAGTTAATACCATCATTGAGGCCATTGTGCTGAAATGGTACATTGCGTTAAAGTAACATACAAGGGCCAAATTTATGGCTATTCATACTGCATTTTCTCTAATAGTAGTGCACCGCACCGAGCCGAGTTGGTGCCTATTTTACGGTTCCTAAGTTTTCGCAGAAGCTCAACACTCTAATCCCCTAGTATATCTCATCGTTAGCTACATTTTCCGACCCCACATCGATAGGTTCTGATAAGCACTTTTCGAGATTTCGAGCAATTTAGGTCCACTACTATTAGAGAAGACACGGTAGTTAGAAATCGTTTCCAAAAGTGGGTCAAGCTTTGATAGATTCTGTAGTTGATACTCTAGTCTATTCATATTTATCGGCCTAGAATCTCACCGTGCAAGCATTTATAACCTTGCCAGTATTCGAATTGATCATACAACCGCAACCCCAAAGGTAGTCACCCTGAAATAAATACGTTTTCTGGGAAAAAAGTTGAACTCATTACCTCGTATTGAAATTTGGAACAATAATTACCACAGTCGCATTTGAGTATTGGCTAAAATTTTTTTAATTGTTTACATTCGATCTTTAGAGACATGTGAAATGGGGTAAACAGAGGAAATACTGATACTAGATCTGTTCACTACAAACACGCATAACTTGCTTTCCGTAAATCCTTTTTCAGGAATTTTTTTTATCAGAATGTAGAGAAAGGAATTCTCTTTCGAAGGGTATATAAAGCTCCGAGAAACATAGCACGTACATCGTGAAAACTTTAAAAATATTTAGCGACTACGACTCGAATCGGGCCAGTTGTAGTTTGCGATATTTTTGAAGTTTCTACGAGCTTTACCATTCAAACGAGAATTTTTTTCCTCTACATTCTGGCGAAAAAATTTCTGAAAAAGGATTTACTGGAAGCAAGTTATGAGTGTTTGTAGCTGGACAGATCGTCATTTTTGTAGTTTGTAGCGCCTAGGTCTAACTGATACCGGGGGACTTGGGAGTTTCGGACTCGTTCCCGCGTTGAGAACACATTCGAGAGCTAGTGAGACTTGAATCAAGATGAATACAACGAGGATAGCTTTCATCTAAAAACATTGGGTATATGAAATGATTAAAGTAAGTTAAAAACTTGTAATCTGATTAAGCTAAAAGGTAAGAGCAAGAAAAGTTACCTTTAGTTGTTTAATTAATTTCAAGTTATGATTTCTTCATCAAAACTGGTTCTTTATATACTAGCTGTATCGTTTTCAGTCTATTGAAATTTGGAATTGCTTTTTGTTCTCAACATGGTCAACAATTGCGTCTTTTGAGAGTTTTTTTTCAGAAGAAAAGCACTCATTTCTATTTAGAAATGGGTAAAATAATCATTTCTAAATAGAAATGAGTAATTTTCTTGTGAAAAACTTTCAAAATTTGACTAATTGTTGATCATCTGTAAATTGTATGGAGGACAATTCCTAAATGCTTTGAAATTCTCTAGAAAATGGGCGCGTTTAAGTTGTTTACGTGATTTTATATTTTAAAGTATACCAAGAGTCTAAAAGCGTCCAGATTTTTGTGCATCAAAACAAAGAAATAATAAATAACAACGAAGAAAAATTTCACTTTGATTTCACTAACTTTTCTTTTAGTTTGAAGCTGATAGCAATCATTCCAGAATGTTGGTGAGAATCATTAATGAGTCGAGTTCGCTTCAGTTGGCAGAAATCTCCCACCAACATCTATGTCTAGGTTTTGTTTTACTTTGTCCGTCCTTCGGGACGGGACGGCTTTGTCCTGAGTTGGACTGACCCGTCTCGACGCCCATGTCTACCGTGATACCTGAATAAATTTGAAAGTTTGACAATAGCGGTAGCAAATGGCAACTGTAATTCTACAAACAAAACAAATATGAAAAAAGAGCTCACATTGATCCTGTGACATAATGGGCACACTATTTGCGCACAATTGCTTCTCCCCCTTTCCAATCCTCCCGTTTTAGTATTTCCGGAAGATCCAAATGTGCACCGAGCATCACTGAAAATTCACTAACTAACATGCCAACCGGGTGTCGTAGCAAAATGACACGTTCGAAATGACAAAATATACTATTCAACGCAGAATTTTACGCTGATTACGAATCTGCTTTCCGTTTTGGCTAAATAGCACTCTGTCAAAAGTTATAAGCGTGCAAATTTTTGAATTGAATTTTAAAAATCATCTCTAGAGTTTATAAGCGGATTCTTGCAAGGAGCTTTCACACTTTTGCGCAATAGAGAATCTACGTCAACTTCCGAGAAAAAGGCAATGTTCTGGAAGAAAGTTAATTTTGCCTCTGAATCAAAATAGAAAAAAATCCAAGTAGATTTTACCATAGGTAGTTGTTGTATTCCGATCGCCTGTGAAATCGTGGCTCTCACGTGAGCATTAACCCACATTAATGCCAGCGCATATCGGCCAACATATTCGTCTTTGCACAAGTATCGAACCTAGATTAGAATACAACACACGATAGTAACATTGAACAGTCAGATGAAAGGATCCATTGGTCGGTGTCTTATTCATTTTTGATATTCTCTTCGATTTAACGGATCATTTTCTGGTATTTTCTGGTGAGTTAAACTTTTTTTACTTTGAAACGAAGAACTTTTAAACGTTTGTGTTAAACTTTCGAATTTTAGAGGCATAATGCTAGCCAAGGAATCGGTCAAGTCGAGGAAAAGAATTGTGAGGAAAATCTTGGTCTTCTGATTAAAAATTTTTTTAGGTTTCCTCACCCGAACATCCGAAAGATTTTGCCAGATTTGTCAACGATCATTTGAGCCCAAAAAAGAAAACGGATGCCGATGAAGTTTGTTGAGAAATTTTTGATTGCAATAGAGGTTGTTAAGAAAATGACTGGAGGTAAGGAGTATCAACCGAATTGGCAATCTACAATCAATCGCGTCTTCAATTGATGGTAGGAGAGAAGAAACTTCTGAAGGTAAAAATTTGGTACTTTTGATGAATAGGTGTCTCAATGGGTACTGGGTTGTTTTTAGGTTGAGCCATAAAAACCGAATTTGGTTGTAATTTGATTGAAAATGAGCTGAAATTGTCTTAAAAAGATGGAAATTGAACAATCAGCACTTTTTATTTAGAGAAACCATAGACTAATTCGTGAATTTGTTATTTTTGAACGAAAAGATTCTCTGGACGTCATACTCAACTTGAAAAGTAATAGATAAAGTATTATTAGGTTGATGCAAAAGTCTTTTTCATTTTTTTCGTCTGCCGTTTCAAGCCAACAAATGCACCAATTAAACTACGGTTGATTTCATTAGAAAAACCAATTATTTTTCTGCAAAATAACATTAAAACGGGTTTAAAAATATTTAATGCCTGGATTTTCTTGAGAGTATGAAGTCGGGTAGTCAAAAAGGGCTAACTCGATGATGCGGTTTAGACACCTTAGCTAAAGAAAACCTATCTTCGTGTCAATAGATAAAAGATAGAGAAAAAAAAGTTTGATATTTCGCCAAAATTTCAGAGAAATTCATTCAGCCAATTTTTCCGTAGAGTTTTTTATAGATTTTTACGAAAAAGGCGTTTTTCACTCTCGAATTTGTTTGAAAGTCAACCGAAATTGATTTTAAAAGATGGAAATTGAACAAAAAAACACTTTTTTTATAGAGCAAACTATAGATTAATTGGTGAATTTGTTACTTTTAAACAGAAGTACGAAAAAAATGAAAAAGACTTTTGCATCAACCTAATAGTAGTGGAGACTCCACTCAATTATAAAAAAAGTATGAGGCACATCAAATTCATTCATTATGTCCGCGTCAGGGTTTTTTTAACCTTGGGTAATTAAATCGACGAGAATGGCCTCTGGCGCGCTATCTGTGCGGGTCGATATGCCACCACTTGTGGAGCGAATACCGGCATGGTCGGCTTTCTCTTTCAAAGAGCATAACTCATGATCAAACGTGGATTTTCTACGATGGTCGAGTGTTACAACGGCAGTGGTTGAAGAAAGGGCAAGTAGGAAAAATGGTGCCAAAACGGAACATCTACGGAAAGAAGCGAATGTTGTGTGTCTACTGGTGTTCGACAGGCGTCCTTTTCTGGGAACTTCTCAAACCCAGGCAAATTTCAACACCGATGTTTATCTATATCATATGAAAAAGTCGAACAAAAAGTCGGAAGGTTGCTCTATGAAAACAAATGGAACGGCCCCGTTTTCGTTTTTCGTTGCAAGCTCCCACAAATCAGAAAGATAGATCGATTTTGTGAAGGACAACCTACACTGGAATATCATTCCTCATGCACCGTATTCTCCGGACGTTGCCTCTTCTGAAATAGAAATAGAAAATACAAGGAAAAAAAAGAGAAGGAAATACCCGGATTTTCAGAACCGTGGGCTCGCTCTCGCCTTACTTGAAAATCAGAACCAGGGGCATAAAGAAAGCTTTCTTTATTTATGCCAGACGCCGTTTTTTCCTAAGAGCGACCCGAAAAGAACGCACTTAGAATTTCCTTTACAAAATGCCTTTTTTAGAGAATTCAAAAACACTCATTTTTTAAAACTTCTTTGAGTTCTAACACTTGGTGTTTATAGCTACTTCATTAAAGTATCTGAAACTATTAGAAAATATTTTTTGCATAACGTTCTTGCTCTGCGGAAGTCGAACCAAAAGCCCCTTATTGGGGCCTCAGATTTGCCTCGTGCGCCTTAGGCCACTCGGCCATAAAGTCCGAGGTAACACCCGGTTTTTTCGCTTTTTACGAAAAATCACACAACTTTCCAATAAAACTAACGTCGGATTCGGAAAGAGGACCCAAAATTACATGCTCTTGCAAATTTTGAGCTCATTTGGTCCAGCCATTCACGAGAAACAGCCGTGACTCAACATTGAGTCACGCGGTCGTCAATGTGTTCAAGTAAATAGGGTACAAGAAGCATATTCGTCTCTAGTTTGGATGAAAACATCGTAAGGGTAACTGTTTATGTTTACAAGACTTCATTTTAATCAAAAAAATTGAAAAGGTAAGCATTATTTTATTGTTTCTCACTCAAATTTTTGTTTTTTCAAACATTTATATCACATTTAAGATTTTCATGAAATTTCTTCGAGTTTCAATACTAAATATCTAGATTCAGTGTATTTAAAGCGTTCAGAGGCTTTCCCGAGCCGAGCGATAAATTCTGGTTTTCTCCATTTATCTCCTCGATTCCCATCTTGCTGTAACCGAAATGCGATTCGTTTGGGCCTCGACCCCGGTAGGCCTGAAAACAGTTAGTGAAAACAAGAAAACTATGAATATTTATAAATAAAGGGTTGGTAGTATGAATAAAGGGTTGAATAGGTAAGTATGAAAAAAGGGTTGGAATTTGCGTGCTCAATTACAGGATGAACTAAAGTCAATGCGAGACAAATGCTTCTCACCGCTCGTGTCCTCTGGTCGACATTCATGATCGACTCACGTGCCCCGATCCACGAGTGTTTCCCGTGTACTCGGTAGACAGCCGAAACGGAAGGGCCAAAGAAAATCTGTTTTTAGAAATACATACAAAAAGTCTTGGCCGGTCACTGTTCACTTGGTTCATAGATCACATCCAAATACAGTGCGTTTCACATCAATAAAGGCACCCCAAAAAATTGCAATAACTCGGGATGCATAAGAGTTAGAGTGCTAATTCTTTTATTATTAGAAAGAGAAGACAAAATAACCTAGATAAACTTAAATAGAACCAAGAAATTCTCTATTGAATTTCTGGAAATCGTCAAAGTATGAAAAACGGCTTTTTCACCTCAATAAAGGCACTAACGTTTTGTAAACTTTTTTCTATTCTTTTCTACTTTTTTGTTTCTTATGCACTTCTAGTATAATTTTCACTTTTTTTAGTGCGATGCTACGCGGTGCTATTTTATCGGACTACGAGAAGGGTCAGATTGATGTTCTTCATGGCTAGAAAGTCTCGAACCGCAAAATAGTTGCTCAACTCCAAAGATCACCCACCATAATCAATAATTACTTGAAAGATCCGGCTAAATATGGAAAAGGCAAGCGTACAAACTATCAAAAGAAGCTTTCAAATTGTGATGTTCGTTATATAGCCGATCAGTGTTCACTTGGTCCATAGATCACATCCAAATATATTGACGACAAATAATTTTATCTACTTTTAAAGGTGGTTAAAATGAGCCATTTACCCTTTCGATATCCTTTGAACTAAGAGTTTTATGATCGAAAAACCTTATTTGAGAATGATTTTGAAAAAATCTGCATTTCAAGAATGAATGGATCCCATTGAAAACGGTTTGTGGCATCGTCTATTACTTATTTATTCATTTTGTTTTGTTGAAAATGAAAGGTTACTGGCAGTTTTGCAGCCTTAAAGGGGTACTTCGGCCTAAAGTTGAGAATCGCGGTCATAATATATATATTATTCGATGCGTTTTAGTCTTCCCTACAGCTATTTTCTATATGAAAAACAAGGTTTCCAATCGAGAAATGAAGAAAAACGCAATTTTTTCTTTCCGTCTCACCCTATTTGTGGATATTTGTGGATATTTGGGCGAAAAGTATTTAAAGGTTCCGTCCAATTGCACTTTAGCACTTGCGTTCTTTTCTTTTGCATGAGTTTTCTCAAATTTAACATCAATCTTAAATATTTTTTTTTTAATAGAAAACTACATTCTAAAAGGACTATGAAAAAAAGGTGAATATCAGACTTAAGAAGATGTGAAAAACATGTGCCCAATTTAACCCTGACTTTCCTTAGCCTAATTTAACACTGACCGGAGTACCCCTTTAAACAAAATCTGAGAAAAAGGACCTTACCCTAAAAAGGAAAAGTAACTTGAAAAATTCTATTTAAAGCATTCTATTTAGACATCAAAAATCTAAGAATATCATCTTAAAGCTCTCATAAAAAACTACAAAAAAAACTACTTACGATCGATTTATTTGAATGTGAACTAACCAGAGAAAAATGAGAAAACATTGGCCGGCCAAGACTTTTTGACGACTTTATCTATTCAAAGAATACCTTTTTGAATAGGGAAAAATCGGTGATGAGAAGGCGGAAATTTCTTGGACGACATCGAATTATTCCGGCCAGGCGCTCCATATAAGCGACGAAATCGACCTAAGAAGTGAGATCTCAAAACCCCGAGGTTCTGAAGCGTTTTTGAACCTCAAAGTAGTGTCGATTACTGTTCGTGTATCGTTGTTTGGCGGCTCTCAAATCGTTCTCAATCGTTTGCCTCATTCGGTCGATTGATGGAAGCTGAAACCATAAACTAACTTCAAAAAGCACTTGAATGAGACATTGAATGTTTAAAAAACAAAAATCATTAGGTTGGTGAATTGAAAACTGCGGGACTTTGAACTAAAATTTATTCAACATAAAACCATAAATTCATTCCAAATAATTTCCATTATTATTGACGACTTCTGCCCATTTTACAGGCAATTTGCGGATTCCTCTTTCGTAGTAGGATTTTGGTTTGTGTGTGAGACAAGTGTGAGACTCAAAAGTGGAGGACTGGAGACTGGAGATGTCCCAGTTTGAGCACTTTCTTCAAAAGAAACCCATTTTGGTGTCAATGGAAAAGTTGTAGAGAATCAAAAATTAGGCTTATAGCCAAATTTCCAAAAAGATACACTTAGTAGTTTCTGTTAAAATGCAAGTTTTGTGAAAAGTTTTGTGAAAATGCGTAAATTTGGCATTTCTTGAAAACCAGTTTTTGAATCGTTCTGAAAATTTGGATATAAGCTTGATTTTTGATTCTCTAC